TAACTACCTCTCATATTACATAAAAATATATTAAAAATATGTACATAACATTTCATCCCCTTTAAAATAAACTTTGTCCTCAAAGTTTGATTTTATCATATATAAAAGGAGGCGGTCAACCCACTTTTGTATTTTAGTGACAATCAACTTGATCATTCTTTTCACCACTAATAAGCATACTATATTCTTGTATCAACTTCAATGTGGCTGGCTGTGCTCCTTGAAGATCAAGTCTAATGGTATTGTTGAGTCCACATCCCATTAATTGTTGTCTAAGCACCGTGCTGCCTTGTGCAAGTAGTCTTGACAAAAGTGAACTATAATATTGAAAGGAGCTCATGATCGGCTTCAATAAGGTAAAGTTCTCATGGACATCTTCAAATTGGATTTGGCCAAATTGTATTGGCAGCACTTCCTTTAACAATGTAATCACCTCATTGTGATTCTTGAGTAATGGATAATAATATGCATGCACACCTTCCAGTAGACACTTGGCCTTATAATGAACAACGCGTTGTTAGAGTAAGAATTGTTCAGTATGAGAAACCACCATGGTGGGATCTTCCTTGCCATTGCATAGTGAGAAATCCAGCTTTGAAATTGTGCTGGTTAGAGGGTTAGTTGATCCGACAAAAATACAAGATGGGTGGCCATTATTTTCACCTCCTTCATTGTGATGGGTCGACCCTTCATCTTCCTTATGATAATGACCTCGGTCGGTTATTAATTGATTAAAGCGCAAATTCATAGTAAGAAACAATTCGTGTATCTTTTTCATTATCCTCTCTTGCCCGATAATTAAAGAGTGAACTTTCGCTTCAAGTCGATCAACTCGATCCTCCATGCCTAGCTCTGATACCAATTGTTACGTGCACGATTTTGGGTAATTTGTAAAACAAAGAAAAAATAGAATCTAGGAAGAAAACCCACTTCGAGGAGGGTGAAAACCTCCAATGGCTCAATTCGAGAAGAATTGAATCTTCAAAACTTTCACATGAAAGTTCAATACAATATTCAACCTCTTCATTCATTGACAGGAAGACTTTTAAATACAAGATAATAAAACTACCTTAATAACGAACTTGACTCATGATAGATAGATATAGATAAATAATGAATTTATTAGTTGAATTAATGCAACTAATAAATATATGAGAACTCTTAAAACAAGGATAAAGTAGACATTATAGAATTATTAAAGGGCAAATAAGGAATTAAAAGTTTTTCTTTTTAAGCCACTTTTAGAAGTAGTATAGATATAGATATAGATAGATAGATATAGATTTATAACGAAGATAATCAAAAGGCAAACAATGAATTTATTAGTTGAATTAATACAACTAATAAATATATTAGAGCTCTTGAAACAAGGATAAAGTAGACATTATAGAATTATTAATGGGCAAATAAGAAAATTAAAAGTTTTTCTCTTTAAGTCACTTTTAGAAGTAGTATAGATATAGATAGATAGATATAGATTTATAAAGAAGATAATCAAAAGGCAAACAATGAATTTATTAGTTGAATTAATACAACTAATAAATATATGAGAGCTCTTGAAACAAGGATAAAGTAGACATTATAGAATTATTAATGGGCAAATAAGGAAATTAAAAATTTTTCTCTTTAAGCCACTTTTAGAAGTAGTATATATATAGATATAGATAGATATAAATATATATATGCATTGGTAGGCATGCATGTGAGCTAACTAGTCACCATCTATCACCATTTATCTTTTTTTTTTTTTGTTCCTCTCTCCAAAGGGAACTTATGATCATAAATAAGGGTGACACATGGCAAAATAATATCAAAATAATTGACTATTGTATTGTGCTAGAGGTATAGTTTGTATACATCCGAACAATATATGGAACATTGACGGCAAACATTAGGGCGGACAATAGAATGAGTTACGTACGTTTCATATGTTTTGTAAGTCGTTTTTGTGTCAAAATATGTTCAACACAATTTATTAATTTATAATTATTTATGGTCAAGTTGTGTCGTCGGGTACAAAATGTGTAAAGTTAAGTATATAATGTATGCAAATCTTATATAGATAAACTAGTTATTGTATGTGTCTAAAAGTACAGAATAATAAAAAAATATTTAACAATAAATATATTTTTATTTACATCTAAAATCACATCACAAATATAGAAGAGAGATAAAAGAATTTAAACACCGATTATAATGAAAGTGAGCGATGATAATGGTAGTGGGTGGTAGTGGCGGTGGCGACGATGACGATAATGGTGGTGGTGACGGTTGTGGTGATGGTCTTGAGGGGTGACGGTTGGACAATGGCGGTGGTGGTAGGGTGGAGATGACAGTGACGGTGATGGTAGTGGTGGGAGTAGTGGGAATGGTGGTGGTCGTGGGGTGGCGGAAGTAGTAATGACAACGGTGATAATAATAGGGGCAGTGGTGGTAGTGCTGGTTGTTGTGGCAGAAGTGGTGGGGTGGCGACAACGATGGTAGGAAAGTGGCGGTGGTGATGGTAAGGGTGATATGGTCATGACAACGATGATGGTGGTAAAGGACGAGGGGTGATGGTGAGGGGATGGGTGGGGTGGGGTGGCGGTGGTGGTGGTAATGGTAATGGTGGTGGGGGGTGGTGTTGGTAGTGGTGATGGTGGTAGTAGTGGTGATGGGGTGGTTTCAAACACTATTTTTTTAAAGTAGTTATGAAAAATGTTAAGTATTAAAATCACTTAAAAAAAATCACCTCAAACACACCCTTAGGAGTTTATTTTTCTTATTAAATTTGGAGTGTTAATATTAGCCGTTAGATTAACTTTAAAATAAAATTAAAAGATACCTCAATCGCGAATAGCAAAAATATTTTTTTTTATCTTTTGAGATTTGAATTGTATTGTACTTTATTATATAAATATATCAAATGAATATCCTAAAGGCACAAAGTAATAAAAAAAATAGTCAACATATTTGTATTTACACCCAAAATTAAATTACAAATATAGGAAAAATATAAAGAAATTTAAGCACCAATTGTAGTGGGGGTGAGCGATGGTAGTGGTAGTGGTGATGGTGGGCGATAGTGGTGATGATGGGAGAGGGTGATAGTTGTAGTGGGTAAGGCGACGACCATGTGGTGGTAGCAGCCGTGAGTGACAATGGTAATGGTGGTGATGGGTTTTGAGTGACGATGATGATAATGGCAGTTGTGAGTGACAACAGTGGTGGTGGTGGCTATGGGTGGGGGGGGGGGGATGACAGTGATGGTGGTTTACAGTGGTGATGATGGAACGACGATGGTGGTGGTGGGTAACGATGGGTGCTTCTCGGCGACAGTGTGATGGGTGGTGACGAATGACAGTGGTGGTAAGTGTGGTGGGGGTAGGTGGCAGTGGGTGACTGTAACGGTGGGCGATGACAGGTGATAGTGGTTGGTGGTGATAGGTGTGATGGGGTAGGTGATAGTGGCTGGTGGTTATGGGTGGTGGTGGGTGTTGACGGTGGGCGACTGTAATAGTGGGATGATGGTGACAATGATAATAAATATAAGAATCGATGGGGGTGGCGGTGGGGTAGTGAAGGTGGGGGTGGGGGTGGAGGTGCAGTGGCGATGGTGATGGTAGTTATGATGGTCATGGGGTTGGTGGTGGGACGGTGGGGGTGATGGTGGGACAGTAGCAATGGTGGTAAGGTGCAACATCGGTGATAATGATGGTAGGGTGCGACAATGGTGGTGGTTGGGCGGTGGAAATGATGGTGGTGGTGAGACAGTGGTGGTTGTGGTAGTGGTAATGATAATGGTGGGGTGGTGGTAGTGGTGGGTGGTGGTGGGGGTGGGACAATGAAAATGGTGATAGTGGTGGTAGCAACGATGGTGATGGTGGTGGTGGGTATGGTAAGGGTGGCGATAGTGATGGTGGTGGTGGTGGTGGTGTTAAAGGTAGTGGTGAGACAGTTTCAAACACTATCTTTTAAAAAAATATTTATGAGAAATAATTTTCAAAAGGACTTTTCAAAAGTTATTCCAAACACACCCTTAGAGACTTATTTTTCATATTAAATTTAGGGTGTAAATATTAACCATTAGATTAACTCTAAAATAAAATTTAAAGCAATTTTAACCACGAATAACAAAAATTATTTTGTTTATCTTTTGAAATTTGAATTATATTATACTTTATTATATAGATTCATAATGTATGAATCGGATTCATGTCAATTCGTTTATTTGTATGTCACGTATTGACCAATTTAATTATAATTTATTTTACTACCAAGTAGGGTGGTCTAGTGGGGTATCGATCTTACTCCTCACCTTGAGGTTAGGAGTTTGAGTCTTGGAGTTCCCATTAGAGCTTGGTGGTTGGCCGCTATGCTAGCCTAGCTAAGTCTGGTCCCGAGAAGTGTTACAGACTCGGTCAGGGACCTCATAATCCCACCGGTGAGGGCTTATCGGGGTGGTCGCTAGACACTCTTCTTTGCCCCCACCCCTTATTTATTTATCAAAAAAACAAAAAAAAATTATAATTTATTTTTGCTAAAACTAAATATATATTCTGTAACTTTTGTCTATTTTGTATCGAATTAACAATTGTAATTGGTAATCCAATCTAACGGGAGTCAATCTTGGCGTCCCCACTGTATAGAGCCATTAAAACAAAATTAAGAATAAAAAATTATAATTAATTAAAAAATATAATTATTTGTTGATTAAATGGAATTTTGGGTACAAAGAAAGAACAAACAAAAGGCGTTACAACTACCAAAGGACACCTATTTTACGCGGGTATACACGCAAGCCTCCAAACAAAACCAAACAGAATAAAATTCAAATTGTCAATCGAAGAGACTTTCCACTACGCCACCACCTAGAATATGTCTCTGCCCACCTCTCTCTCTTTCTTTCTGTCTGCGGTCAGTACTAAAGATTCTAGAACTCAAAAGAGGGAGAAAGTTGGAGAGAGAAAGAGAGAGATTGTTAAGAGTTTCTTAGAGGGTTTTGGCAGTTGTGTTACACCATGAACGAGAAGGCCAGCGTCTCCAAAGAGCTTAGTGCAAAACACAGAAAGGTGTCCCTTTTTATCTCTATGTTTTCAGGGGAAAAATTGAATTTTGATTCACCCACAAAAAAAAAAAAAAAATCTAAATATGGGTTTGGTCTGGGTGTTTTACTGCTTAATTACACATAAACATGATCTTGTATGAATGGTCTGATAATTTTTTTTTTTTATATAATATTTTTGAGCTGACTCTCTCTCTTATTTGTCTTTTGGTTTGACTAATCTGTATCTTTAGGTGATAAAATCACCATTATTTCCTTCTTCCCCCCCTCCCCTCTGTTGCTGAAACCATGAGTTTCGGTTAAGCATGAATTGATAGCCCTGTATGTATTTGACCACAAACCCTGACTCTGTTCTATAATTATCGGAAGATATGGTATATTTATATACGTTTCAAGTGTATGGCTCTGTGAAGATCATCATAATATTTTTTAATCCATGTAATCATAGTTCTTCTTTGTGTTTGCAGCATATAACTGGCTAAAATGGTTGTCTTTTGAACATTAGATGTTTACTTTTTATTTTAATCATTATTTATGTGGAAAAAAAAATGTTTCTTGCAAGTAGCAAATAGTTCACCAAATTCGCTCTTAAAGAAATTGTTAGTATCTCTACCAACAGTTTGTATTCTTACTAACCAGTCAATTTTAATTAGTTTTTCGAGAGTCGCGACTATAATGTTAGTTGTATATGGTTTACCCACTTTTTAAGAAATAAATGGAAAGAAAAAAAAAGAATTGGGTATCATCCAAAAGTCTAAGTGTTTATATCTGTATTGATTTCATATTGTAGCTGTCAAGGTGTTTGGTGATGTCTACATGCTTGGTATCGGGACCCATCTTGTGAGTTGTAGCTAATATTGAGCCTATTGGTAGCAATACCAATATTCTGTGCTTACATCCCTATAGAACAACATATTTTATGAGATAGGTTGCGGTTCTGTGTAGTATACATTCATATAAGGGTTAAACAGAACCTTGGAAAAATGCATCAAAGGTTTATGATGGAGGATGAATTCTTGTTGCAAATCAAACAAAAGTTAGGCATTGAGTTGCACAAATGGATGGCTTAGTTCATGTTGTTGGATATATTCTTGAAGTAATAGACTTGGTTGTGGTTTCCTATTTCCTCTATGGAGTATGACAGTTTATGGGTAGAAATTTAGTAACCCTATGTCTACCTAAGATTCTCACAGTTTCCTTTACTTAGGGTGGGGTTTGTTGTATGATTGAAATATAAATATTGCTGTCTGGTGTCCTTTTCTACAGATACTTGAAGGCATTCTTAAATTATCAGAAAACAGGGAATGTGCTGACTGCAAAAGCAAGTAGGTAACTCGGAGTAATAATGGTCCATGTTTACTTAGTTGACGAACAATATGCATCTTTTGTATATTGAAGATATGAATGAAACAGAGATGTTGATCTTTGTAACATGCTAGAATGCTCTAATACAACTTTTTTGCTATGCAGAGGCCCAAGATGGGCTAGCGTGAATCTGGGAATCTTCATATGCATGCAATGTTCTGGGATTCACAGAAGTCTTGGAGTACACATATCAAAGGTTTGTGTTTCTGTATGTGCATTATATTTGTCTGTGTTTTGGTTCCTAAACATGCCTATACAAATTCCCTGTAATTTTGATGCAGGTGAGATCTGCAACGTTGGACACATGGCTTCCAGACCAGGTTGCATTTATTAAATGTGAGCTCCTCTTATACTTTATAATTGATGCTAAATCAGTTTTAAGATAAATAAATCAAGTTCTTCGAGTCAGTTTAATTTGTGCTTGCTTGCTGCAGCAATGGGAAATGAGAAATCAAATAGCTATTGGGAAGCGGAGCTGCCCCCTAAGTATGATAGGGTTGGAATTGAAAATTTTATTCGTGCAAAGTACGATATCGTTGATTGATTGGTACCAACTAGCACAATATATACTTGATTCAGCCTTCATTTTCTTCCATTGTTCTGGTCTTAAGTCACGCCTTTATTACTTATTAATGTGAATATGTTAGGTATGTAGAGAAGAGATGGACTCCTAGAGATCAAAAAGCAAATTCAGCCAAAGGGGTTAGAGAAGAGAGGGTTGTAGTATATAAACCGGGACCTGGGACTAGAATTGGTGTTGCATCTGCAAATGGTTCAAACCATATCTCTGGAGAGAGGAAAAACCCTGAGCTGCGTGACACAAACAGAAGTATCCCTACTTTAGAAAAATGCAATATCCCGGTGCCTTCTGAATTATCTAAGCAGGTAAATATTATTTATTTGTCTAGTATTCTCAACTCCATCATGAAAGAACATAACAACTGTTGTGAAAGAGTCTCTAGGATTAAGATGTTGATATGATGCTTGGATTAGCATTGTGATGTACGCTTGTTCCGCTTTGACTGTTTGTTTTCATTCTGTATCATATTGTATGATTCTCATTTTATATTTAACCTTTGCTCTGGCTTCCTTTTCTGAAAGTCTCAGAAAAGTACACCGATGTTGGGAACCTACTGACATGTTGGACTTGGCAAATAGGTCGCTCCTGATCCAAAACTACAAGGAGTTTGTCAGAAATCAGAACCAGCAGCCTCAAAGGCTGCATTAGGAAGGAGGGCTGGAGCTAATGCAAGCACAGCTGTCTCGGCATCTGAGGTCGATTATGCTATTCATCTTTTTAACATGCATTTTTTTTTTGGAAGTCTCGGGAAAGAATACTGACATCGGACAGCTACTAACATGTTGGACATAACAAACAGGTAAGTCCCAATAAAAAGCCACACGAAATTCATCGGAAATTAGAACCAGCAGCCTCAGAGGCTTCACTAGGAAGGACCGAAGCTAATGCCAGGGCACCTGTCACAGCATCTAACATTGATTATGCTACAGATCTTTTTACCATGTTTTCGAAAGAAGGCTCAAAAGAAAACAACTCCAGAACAACATTTAGTGCTGATGATAATGCATCGGCAGGATTCCAGTGTATGTTCACTTCCCTGGTAGTTTCATTGAAGTGACTGAGCACCTATCTGCTACTGTTATACCCTTATTTGGTCTTATAACCTCTTTATACTCCCATAACAGCTTGAGTAAAGTTGTGATGGTGGTATTACTCCGTGATTACATTGATTTGATCTTTCACAACTTGCAGCTGCTGAAGTAACATCAACAGCAGAGAAATATGTTCCTTCAAAAGCTGTTGAAAGAAAGATCCAATTTGACTCTGGAATTGAGGATCTAATCAAAGATTTTCAATTTGTAACACACCCTGTTTTGAAGAGAAAGATGTGAAGAATGACCTTATGGACCTCTTTGATAAGGTATATTCCACAATATCATTCTAGGGAAGTTGAAAAATTTTCACTGAAGGATCTTTTGGCAGAAAAGGGATTGTTTTCAACATTACAAAGGATTGAATAAAAACTGTCACTTAACCATTATTCAGTCTTCAAATGAAAGCTCCTCTTAATAACAACCTCATGGTTAGGAGTGTCTGGTGAAACTTCATGGCAAGAATACATTGCAATGTGTTCCTCATTTTTTTTCGTTCTCAATTTGTGCAGACCAGTATGGTGTCACAATTTTCTCTCCATCAACAACAATCTGCAGTGCTAGCTCAACAACAGCCTTTTCTCACGTCTGCAGCAGCGAAGCCTTTTGGTGGGTTCCAACCATTTTCTAGTAATATACATCAACCAGCCTCCAACGGTAGCCACTTACCCACTCAGCATTGGGGAAGCATGGGTAATCAGGCTCCTCAAGCGATGACGCCAGCAGCTGCACTGCAGAAGCCTATGCAGGTTTTGCTCATAAAACACTTACATTCGCATGTTCGATTGTCGAAAATTTCATCTCTTATATTGTTACTATCTTCTTGTGCCAGATGGGAAACATCAGATCTGCACATCCTGCTTGGAATTCTTCTCATTATTCACTATCCAGGTATAGCATATTGTTGATCTCAGCCTGAATTTACTTCCTAACAATTTTTCATTAGTGTAGTTGATAGGGGATGCAACTAATCTAGCTCATGAAATATATAACATTCTTGATCCTTCCTTTTACTGTTCTTCTAGGCTGGAATAAAAAATGGGTTGTCTCCTCTTTAATGATCTTTTCTATAGGTTACTGTGAGCGATCTAAATTTTGACCCTTATTTTTTCCTTTTTGGATGATTGTAGAAGATGCTTAATCTATTTATGGAATTTGACCCTCATTTAGGGGAAGAAATGAAAAGGAGGAGGTTCCAAACAGTGTTATGGAACTGAGCCAAATAGATTGGAGTTAGTGTGGTGTTTAACAATTTTAGAAAATTAAAATTCTGAATGAGCCATTGATCCTGGTTTCGTTAAGTCCAAAGCCATAGATTGTCACAACAAAAGCTTGATTCAAGTCGTCAGCAAAAAAAACTGCAGTCTGTTCCAAAAACAAAAGCATGGCATTCCTTTTGAACTGGATATACTGGTTTTCTGCGGCAACCATCATTCAACTTAAGTAATATAATGCGAGGAGCTAGGTAAATGTTGGTAGAACATGTTTGCTAGTCACTAATTGTTGGAGTGATGATTTGAAAAATAATCAGGTCCCAATCTCATAACGTCTAAGTTGGTTATCCTTGACAACATCAGCAGATTGAATCTAGTGGACATGGGGAAAAAAAACAAGAAGAAGAACATCCACTGAGTCTCTTGGTGCATATACTACAATTTGACGTATGTTAGGACTTAGGCATATTGGCATCAATTATATATGCGCCTTATATTGTTGCCATATCGTTTCTTTTGCAGCAAGAATACTTCAGGTTCAGTTGCTCCAATAGGCGGTGGCATAACCACCACAAGAGCAAGTAGGTCTTCCAATATTATGCCGACATCATCAGCCATTCCAACACACTTGGGAGGAGATTATGATTTCTCATCGCTAATGCAAGGGATGTTTACAAAAAGGTGAGTGTGTGTTTGAATCATGGGTGAACAGACGATAGTTTTTCATTCATAAATAGCATTAGTAGTAGTAAATGTACTCAAAATATTGATTTTTGATTGTTTCATTTGTATCAGTACATAAGCGAATGCAATAAAATTCAGTACATTCAGTTTCGTTTGATTTTGGTGTTCAGCACAGACCAAACTTCTTGTCAGTGAGTGAGAATTTCACCACAAATAGACCATTTCTATGCCACTCGTTAGCGAGAATTTTTGACAAAGCCACACCCATTTCAAATTTTCAAACCAAGTCTTTGTAAAACTCTTAGAACTGCTCACAACCGATGATGTATGAATAGATGATGATGGTTTTTCATTCAAAAATCGCAGAAATTATACAATCAAAGGGTAATACCAATAGTAAAGACATGGGCAGCCACTGATACAACCGATGATGTGTGAGTAGACGATGATGGTTTTTCATTCAAAAATTGTTGAAATTATATAATCAAAGGGTAATACCAAAGCTAAAGACATGATCAGCCACTTAAACAACCGATGATACCAATGATGTGTGAATAGATGATGATGGTTTTTCATTCAAAAATCGTAGAAATTATACAATCAAAGGGTAATAATACTAACGCCAAAGACATGACTAGTCACTTAAACAACCGATAATGTGTGAATAGATGATGATAGTTTTTCATTCAAAAATCGTAGAAATTGTATGCGTAATTAAATCTAGTGTTTCAAGGGGGCTCTACCCTCTGTTTGGTTTTTTTTTAACATTTTTTTGGTGATTGTTTCATTTCTATTTGTGCGTGCAGAATCTTGCACAATATAAACACGAGAACAGATCTCTCCCGTAGTGAACTCAAGTCAATCAATCAAATGGTCAACCTTGCTACTTGGAACAGACTGTGAGGTCCGTTGGTGGCCTGGAAAGGTAATGGGTGACTTTCGTGGATCAACGGAGCGGTCCTGTAAGGCTCAGGGAGGTTCCTGGAACGAAGAAAAATGAGTTAGGAGGGCGTCAGAGTGTTTTTCGACGTATCCCCTCCGACGATCAAGTCACTTCTTTGAGAGAGGGGAAGGAGAAAACATTGTATTTGTTTGAGAAAGAGGTTTCTTGTTACATACCGTCTTGCCTTTTGTGAAAAGTATTTATACCTCAAAAACTCATGATTGCTGTCAGTATAGTCAGTAGGTGATCATTAGATACGGGTAACATGCGCACTGATTCCTATGAGGAATGTCTTCTCTCTTAACTGTTCGGGACCCCGAGCAACCAATACTGCGTCATCGGCCTGCCGAATGTTTAATGAGCTTCTTTCGGCAAGGATGTAATAAATGTCCAGTCATAGGGACATTTATTACCTTTCACTTTCGAGCTTTTACTGCATTAAATGATGTCTCATCAAGGGAATGGTGCACTAAATGCTTGCTTTCCCAAGTCGTGTGTCAGTAAGGGCATTTCGGTCTTTTTGTCTCTGATCTGACATAATATGTCACGCGCCCATTCCCCATTGGTTGTATCTTTTGCCTTCTTGTGCCTTCTGACACCAATTGTGTAAGACGAGGTCATGATGGCTAACCTAGCCTAGCCTAGGCTAGTGACCTGTACATCAATAGCCTCTGTAGGAGTAGAGAACGCCATCTTGGACGGGTACATCTTGGTACCGAGGGGAGTGGTACATGTAGGGACCGATGTACCCCATATCCGATCGGGGGATACGTGTCGGTATGTGACGTACTGGGTGTCATTGATCTCTATAAATGAGTACCTCGGGAGAAGAGGGATTTGTGAACCGACGGGTACGTGTCGTGATTACAGTAACAAGAATTTATTGATGCCGAGGATACGTGTCTTCATCTTGGAGTATTTGGAAATGTCCCATCAACTGTCCCCCAACCTTCGATCTCCTGACACCAAGGACACGCGTCGTAAGGAGACGAAGGGTTCTGCAACTACCCCAACTACATCATTGCTTCTAGCCGCTTTTCTCTGTTTAGGAAGTCATGCGCATTAAATGCTCCTCTTCATGCTTCGTGCCCAAATGATGGGGATGGGTACTATATAAACGGGCTTCCTCTCTCCCTTTCTCATTTCACCATTTCGAACTTCTTCAAAGAGCCCTTACCTGAAACCTCGTCGGAGATCCCTTTCCTTTCGTTGTCTACTGCCCAATCTTTCATCAGAGTCTCAAGGCCAGCAGACCCATCCTTGTTTCTAAACATCCTAGGGGAAGGAATCACTTCAAGTTTTCAAGAAAAACTTCCGTTTATATTCCGGTGAGTCCTTTTATCTTCCCTCTCGTCGTCCTTCTGTCTCTTCTTTTCTTCTTATCGCTGTTTTTATTTTTTTTTTATTTTTCGATAATCGGAGGTGTTTCTGGTTGCCATTGTGACCAACCCTCGGGAAGCCTCCTCGGGGATCTTTGTGAAAAAACCCCTCCCTTCTTCCTCAATTTTCATCATTTTTGGAGATGTCCCGACGTCGCCCTACCCCTGAGAATCCTCAGGCTAGTTCCTCGAGGCTAGGGAAGTACAAAGTGAAGGGGGCGAGCAGATTAATAGGTTTAGGGTCCAGTATCGCATCCCCCCATATGTAGATATAGAGGATTATAACTTGACTGTGCATTCCCGTACCCTCGGGACTGAGGATGAGATGCCCTTTTATACCAAAGCCATCATAGAGGGCGAAATTAGGTTCCCTCTATCCCCTCTACTCCTCCAGTTCCTCTCCCATTTTCACCTCTTTCCCGGACAGTGTTGCCTTAATGTCTTCAGGATAATTATGGGAGTCTTAGAGCTCAACAAGCGTCTCGGGGTAAACGTTGGGCTGAACGATATCCTCTTTTGTTACTCCTTCTTGAGGGTCATGCCTCAACAAAACTTCTACCTCAAAGCCAGAGACCCATTCATGTACCTCGTAACTCACATTCCCGAGTGTTTATTATGCCCTTTGGAATGGAGAACGACAAGTTCGTCGGCTTCTTCGGGTCTATTATTTTGTTCTTGAGATTTTTTAGAAGTGTTCATAACTCTCTCCCCTCTCTTTTTATTTGTGTGCAGACGTCTCCGCTCGGGAAACAGCTTCTCCACTTCGGTCCTTGGTAAACTTTACCGACCTCGTCACTGTTTGGAGATTTGTTGGCGACGATGGGTTCAGTCAGGCTGCTCACATTCTTCTGAACTACACTCCCGGATATAAAAAGTTCTCACAGCTCCCCCAACCTTTCGAGCCTTCGCGGTGGTCTGAACTCTTCGATCAGGCTGCGCAACAAGAGGTCGAGGAGAATTTGGAGGAGGACCGCGACCGGGCTATAGAGGCTAAAGTAGAGGGTGCTGTTGAAGTTGAGGAGTTCGGGGCCAGGGAGGCTTTTGTTCCTTCATACGTTGAAGTGGGGACTTTGGGGAGAGATTCGTGGCCTGACTTCCAAATCCTGCAGTCCCTAGACGAGGAGGACGCCCTCGAGATAGCCATGTCGAACACGCCTCGCATAGATCTGGGGTTCCTGAGGCAGAGGCAGACCCTCGCTGTCGGGAGGTGACGAGGATCAACCAGCGGGACCCCATCTACAGGGACAAGTGTCGCCCCCCCCCTTCAAGAGCCATTGGTCGGGGTCAAGTGTGTGACCGAGATCCTCAGGTAGAGGAGGAGAGGAGGGTCAAACAAAGGCACGACAGCTTTGCCAGGGGATCCAGGGCCCCTTCCGGTCAGCAACAAAGTGGGAAAGGCTGTGGATTACCTCCTCAGCAGCAACAGCAACAACAGAGGCAACAACAACAGCAACAACAACGGCGGACTCCACCTCCCCCTCCACAGACGGTGGAAGCCGCAGAGTGAAACCCTCGGGCCACTGATCACATGAATCGAGTGATCAGGGTTGATGACTCCATTTTAGAGGACCCCCATGTTGCCAACGCAGTGAGTGAAACGCTGCACTTCGAGGCCGACATGGTGGCTCACAGAGGGTGATCAACGAATGCGTTGTTTTGTTCTATCATTCAGAATTCTCTGGTGGTAAGTTCATCATCGCTTCAGTCTTTGCTACTCGTGTTACTTTTATTGACAAACCCTTTTTTTTGCAGGCCACCCAACAGATTTTCATAATCGCTGCGCGGTATCATATATCTAGGATGGACCTCCAGCGGATTCAACAACAGAAGGAAGAGGCCGAGGGAGCCCTGGCCAGTGCCAAGGAGGATGTAGCTGCCAGGGATTTCACTCTCGCGGGACAGGCTGCTCAGATTGAGCAACTCCTCAAGGACGACAAATTGGCGAAGGTCGGCATTGAAAAGCTAAGTGCTGCCTTGGCTGACGCTGATAGGAGGATGACGGAACAGACACAGCG